TGAACCAACGCGAGAGAAAGGGAGGGCTACGTAAACGAGTCCAGGAAGGGCAGAAGTGCAGTAGCCACAAGTTAGGTTGGTTTAGGGGCATGGCACAGCAGCTTTACTTGCCATTTAGCCAGGTTAAGTGATTACCTTTCCAGTTTGGCCCCATCTGCTCATCCCTGCCAGGAGTGTGGTGGTTACCAGCCCTCAGACCTGCCAGCACAATTGCATGTGTAGCTGCTCCCTGACCTGGCTCTGTCAAAATGAATGCAGCTGAGCTTAAACACCTCTTTTATAGTTCTTGGGGGCCTTTTGTTTCTGCTTTTAGCCAGATCACTTTGTCAGGACCAGGTTAGGGAGCAATTAAATGTGCGGTTATGTTGGCAGATCTGAGGAGGCAGCTGGATCAGAAGCAACACATCTAGCCATGCTCTAAATAAACATCTCTCCAAAGCCTTAGTCAAACAGATGTGGAGAAAAAAATGCACCTAACAAGTCTTGAAGTGAAAATAGAATTTATGAGGAACAACATGTATCAAATTTTCTTCTAAGAGATAAAATCGCTGATTTATGAGATTATTATTTTCTCTAGTCATACATGAAGCATCTAGTAGATATTTCAGGAAACCAGGACATACTTTACATGGATAAAGCGAGGCAGGCAAGTATTTTGTATTCTGTCAGGACACTGCCAGATCCACAAGGTTGTGAACTGCTTGCACCAACCTGAACCGAGTGTACTCTAACCAGCTCTGCTGTTTGCTGCCATTAAAAATTGAAAACTTCTGGTTTCAGATTGCAATTTTCCACGTTTTAAAGAGGATAACTCAGTAATGCTACAAATTGAGTATTTGTTGTCCTGCAACCCTACCTGCTTTTTTCCAAGCCCATTTCTTGTACTAGCACAAGATTTTCCACAGCCAGAGTAAGAACTGATGGAGGTTAACATGACAAGGGGTGCCGGACCTGCTTCCTGGGCCACTTCCTCACAAGGCAACACAAATGCTAGTGCAGGGAAAAGAGGAGAGAAGGTGCAGAGGCAGGAATGAGCAACCAGAAGTACAAGCCAGTTAAAGGTGCTGCATTTGACAGCAGTGCTGGTCTAAAATGTACATGAAACTGCCTCTTCAATCTAACTTTTGGAAAAATATTATTTAAAATCTAGATGATGTACAAAAGTGTGAATACGCCAGTCTACAGCAGAAACAGGACTTGTACTCCTTTGATTCAATCATTGCTGATATGGAGATATCTTAGGATGCATAATAGCAGGAACTAAAGAAAAAAAGCATTTTCTCATGCCTTTCTGATGTTCGAGAACACTTCAGAAAACTCTCATCTCCTCCGTTTCAAAAACCCAAGTAAACAACATATACAAATTGTAACGTTTTCTTTTGAAATGGAATTTCTTGCTGACTTGACTGACAAAATTTTGTTGGACATATATGTATATACATACACTCACACACTCTATGACTACGTTGCAGAGTTGAATGCTAAAATGGGCAGTTGAGCATGCCCATAAAGAACGGAGGCTTTCCCAACTAGTTTAAAAATGTACCTACCTCAGTTATCCCCCAAACACTTTTTGATTTATGTTCTGCTGCTTTAAAAAATGAAATGGGCTAATATGAAATAATACACATACTTGTATAGTGGATATTTATACCCAAAATAAACTTTCTCCTGGGAGAATATTTTTAAAGCAGCATTTCAAGTCTCCTGGCAATGGCTAGTTAGAAAAGTTATTTATTTATTTAGAATAAAAGTTCTCAGAAATTTTTTAACCAACAACATTTAGGATGCTAGCAGTAAGCCTGGTAATTCAAGTTTCTTCCCCCCAAATTACTTTTCATTGCATAAAAAAAATAGTATTCACGCATGCAGAATGCATAGTATGCATTAAGGCAAAGAAAATTATATTTAACAAATGTATGGGCTATTTACAAGGGACTATATGCAAAGCATTTCAACTTACTACATGCTGTTGAGTCTAATAAGCCTGAAAACAAAACACATTGCCTCGTCCGATTAAACTTTTCCTCTTGCACCTACATTTTTAATATTTGGCACACAAATATCAAGTATTTATGATTTGCATTTTCTCCAACAATGAAGTAAGAAACACTGAATGAATACTGTTTTCCCTGAAGACATGTTATACAGGCTGTGAAATGGAAAAACATACTTAGAGGCTGAATATGGTCTGTGACTCCTAATTTTTTCATTAAATGTAAAGACCTCTTTGCAATGATGCATCTGAAGCTTCGTTCTAACTAATACACTGAAGCCCACCATTTTAGATCCAACCACAGATTTTTTAAGGAAGTGGCAAACCATTGCTGCTAGTTGAGAAAATGAAAATTAGTCCCTGGGAGAGGATACAATCAATGGTGTGTTAATCTAACCTTCAGCTGTTAATGATTTGCACCACTATTTCCCCTGATGCTGTGGGTTCTGCTGAAATATTGTTTTAGCATTCCCTACCTTTTTTTCTGCCTGAAAGGGAAAGACTGAAGTGAAAATCTTAGCAACAGATTTTGCATGTGCTTTTCTTTCTTTTCTCTTTTTTTTTTTTTGCTGACCCAGTTCCTTCACACCATGGAAGCAGAGGACAGAAGGGTAAACTTATGTTCCGTTTCTTCAGTTCAAGCCTTTTTAGCCAGTTTATTATTCACAACTCCTCTTACTTAGAAGTGTTACACTAAGCAGTCATGATTAGAATTCTGACATTAACATGCAATTAAATAATTCCAAAACTGTGTATTTTGCCTGCTTTTTCACATTCAGGTGGAAAGTTAAAAGCTTTACAGAACTCTTCTTTTTTTTTGAAAAGAACTGCTAAGGAGGGTCATGTATTTCCAGCCATGAGAGCTGCATAAGCGACCTGGAAGAGACTTCTTGTGCTGATGTAGCAATGAGTAACTGTACCCATCCCGCAGATGCATCTAATCCTGTGAAGTTTGTGTCGTTAAAGATCATTTGGTTCCCTCAGCGGAAACAACCTTGCAAAATAATTCTTATCCGGGAGAAAACTGCAGAGTCCACAAGCCAAAATCTGCAGCAAGGTACTGAGTGCCAAAATAATAAAAGTACTCAGCACCTTGCGAAGCTGTGTTCCACACATGCCACGCTAGTTTTCTTAGCGAGCATTTCTTCCAGGAACAAGTGCATCTGAAGCATTTTAGCATTCTTAAAACAAAGCCAAAAGGCCTCGCAAAACTGACTTTACATGTATCTCATTCCCCTTGTTTAACTTAATCAGTCCTGAATATTCCAGATGAAAAAAAAAAAAAAGGCAGGGTAAACCTGTGAAGTGTAAGACTGTCTAGAAAATTTAGGTTAAGTTAAAGGGTGATATGTAAAAGGTCAGTGTCAGGAGGACAGAGTCAGGCTCTTCTCAGTAACGTCCAACAATAGGACAAGGGGCAACGGGTGCAAGCAGGAACATAGGAGGTTCCACAAAAATATAGACTTTTTCACTGTGAGGGTGCCAGAGCACTGGCAGAGGCTGCCCAGGGAGGGTGTGGAGTCTCCTTCTCTGGAGACATTAAAAACCCACCTGGACACGTTCCTGTGTGACCTGCTCTGGGTGATCCTGCTCTGGTGCGGGGGTTGGACTAGGTGATCTTTCGAGGAGGTCCCTTCCACTACTCACTCGAAGGGATACTTTTTTTGTTGCTGTGCTCTTTTAACATCTTTTAGCAAAACAATGGGTTATAGAAGTAGATTTCCACTAAAATTTGTAATGACAAAAACCAGGGATCTCTAAGTAACAAAGAACATTTCATAGACTCAAATTATTTGAGGACGACCAAATGTACAATCTATGTATTTCTATGTGGTCAAATCTAAGAACATACTGCCTATGAATGAGGAATGCAAACCACAGAATCTAAAAAAAATATTTGGGAATGAAGGATGGCTCAAAGGACCTGGGATACATAAAGGGAGGAACAACAAGTAGAAATAGAGAACAAATGACTTCATTATTTGGCACTGAGGAAGTAATTTCTGAAATACAGAGAGCACTCAAGACAGCAACATCAAGTAGGCTGAAAAACTGCAGAGGATTCAGAAAAAAAGACAGTGGGAATAATTGAAAGACTTGAAAATACATCATATAGTTAAATTCAAATAATAGGAACTTTTCTTCATGTAATGAACAGATTATCTGCAATTTGATGTTTATCTGTAAACTCATGCACAGGGAATAGAAATGTAATGCCATTTTAACAGAAAAAAACTTAATAAAATCTATCATCTGGAAGCTCCTATCATGCAAAGGCAGATCTAAAACATGATATTTTTCAGAAGTAATTAGAGGTCCTGAAAAGCACTTTGAGCAATTTATATGAACAATTTGCTGGATTCCTGGTTACTGGATATTTAGTAATCCACAGTGGCTATTTCTTTAAAATACAATTCTGTTCACCGTGACCTTCAGCTAAATCTTATGGCCCCAATATTGGAGAGCAGATTAGATAGTCAGGTTTGCAACAATTCTCTCGGGCGTTAAAATCTACTCAAGTCAAACTCAGGATTATGACTGAGTTCAAAGAACTTTGGATCACATGGATACACAAAATTTTATCAATTTGGTTATAAGCACACCATTTTATTTTTAAAGGCTGGTGAAAATAATGGACTTGTTTTAGTTTGTTGGGTTTGTTTTCTTCTTTCTGAAGATTAATAACAGAAAATTCAGATTTTAAAATACAGTCTAACATAAGATATGCTCAAGTCAGTTGAAGTGCCAGAATCAGCAAAAGCTGAAAGTCAAGAGCAAATATAGATGAATAAAACTGAAGCTGGAGAATATCCTGCAAGTGCCATATTTAGCCTTGCAGATTAGAAAGACATTTACACGCTTTATGCAACTTCATTTTTGCAAAGATCTAGAGGCCTTGTTTGATCATTTTGAGTTACCAATAACAACTTTGATATATAATTCTCTTTTCTTCCTTCTTAGTTATTAAAGAGCATACTTATGCTAATATAACACACATACTTACTCTGGCAGTCGAGACAGGATACCTAAAGAAAGAGAACTTATGCCATCATTGATCCGGCCTGCCAGCTCACGCTTCTGAATCCAGCTGACAGCAAACTCCAGCCCAATAAAAACAATGAAGAATGGAATACTCTGAAAAACAGTTTGAAGAAAAGAAGTCACAACGCAAATAGGTGCACCTTTCCTAGCGGCAGTATATGGCACACAGATCAACCAAGGCTACAACTTAATCCACAAGACCAGCACAAATCCTGTGCACTATATATCCAGTGCACTTCTATAATTTCTTTTCTGTTTTCTTCACATAAATTGTTAAATGGCGTCAAAACAAAACACAAAAGTCTTTCCAAACTCATATTTCTCACATCCAAGTGAATCAGTGAAACCAGTAACATTTACGGTCTCTTCTAACCTGAGGTAAAACAAAATCTGCTTTCGGTTTCCAAATGTGTTCAGCCACTGAATTTGACATCTGACAATATTATCTGAAAGACATAGTAAAGTGAGTTCCTTTCTACTCTGCATTTCTTTTGCCACGTTTTTTGCTGCAGACAACAGTTTTTATGTTTTCAACAGAGAACCTAGTAACTATGAGCCCATTCCAATTTGGGCTGTACAAAATCTTCTCTTTCCAGACCAAGTAGCAATGAAACAATGTTCCCTTTTTTCTTCTGGGTTGTACAAACTGCAAAATAATTTTCTGCCCTTCTGAAGAAAAGTATAACGATGAGTGAGACTGAAACATTTCTCACTCACAACACTGCTGCCGTATAGGATTCGATTCACTGCTGTCCATCTTCTGTCCCAGATCAACTGGCAAGTCGAAAATGCACAACAGCAGCAGCCAGAAGAGAAAGGTGTGGCTGTGAGTAGTGGTAGGACTGGTAACATTATTGTGGCACCATCATTTTTCACCAGTGGAGAACAGCTGTTCTCAAATTTTCACCAGCGCAAGCAAGAAAAAAGGATTGCATAACAGTTATTGGTCAAGCATGTACTATTTTACAGACACTGGAGTCCTAACAGTCCCTGCACTTCACGGATTGAAGGAATGACACAACAGTGGCAGCACATCTTCCCCTGCCACCAAAATCTGGAAGGCCTATGAAAAGGCAAATAGGAAGGAGCTTCTGTACTTGCATCAGATTTCTGTGCACGGGAATGTTCCTTCAACTGCCTCCCTCACTCCGCAGAAAACTTTTATGTGACCTTAGAGAAATTCAGACACCTCCTTCTCAGTGGTGGTAAGGCATAACATTTTCACCATGTTTTGCAGGGCAAGAGAAATGCAAGACCAGCGAGACTGTCGGCACCTTCATGGGAGGCATCGCACTGCCTAACTTGTCCCATTAGGCTTCTGCTGCCTCCACCAAGCGAGAAGAAAACACACACAAATCCACAGACTGAAACCCTCCAAAGTGAACTGCTGAAGAAGAGAGGCTGCTCCCGCCTCTACGACTTTTTAATGGAAGAAGCATGTTGCCTCTGCAAACGCCATTGCATTTTGGAGGGTGCTCATTTTTGTTGCCAAGTGAGATATGATCCGGGAATTCCTACCAGGCTGGGACACTAAAAAGACTAAGATGGATATAGACCAGATTGCTCAGTCAGAGAAGAATTGGATGATTCAAACCATGCAAGCAGCAAGAGATTTATAGCATCTAGCAAATGTGAAAGTTCATAAACTTCAGCAGCTCAGGGTTAGGTTACAATAACAGATGAACAGAGATTAATATCAACATGGCACTTTTTAAGCTGGATGCCTAGCTTGCTCTTTAACAGCTTTTTAGGTATCTAAAAGCCTGTTTGGGAGACTTCTTAACTGATGATATAAAAAACTTTGAAAGCAAAGGAAGATCTATGGATAAAGCCCAAACATCACCCAAGAAAACCAATCTGGAAAATTTTTGCATATTCTAAATCCATAAAAAAGAAATAAAAACCAAATCCCACAACCTTCCATTTGAAGCCATTGAAATATTCTAGGAAATTTTAAATACTCCTTGTTTTGCTCTAACTGCTTCATTTCTAAGTAGACAAAACTTTTAATGTACTTTTCTTAATTTATGTAATTAAAGAACAGATTACTAACTTATCAAACAAAGGTTGATGACCACAGCTGTACATTCCAGAAGAGATAAAAAGGGTCTTAGTAAGAACACCTAAGAAGCACTTGACCACATTAGGAGCCAGGTCTAGCACAGACTGCAGGCAGTTTGAAGTTACGCAATGGCAGAAGTGGCACAGCTAATTGAATGGTATCAGGACCCCAAAAAAGTGGAATGTTTTATTTATGAAATTAAAACAATGCATAGGAGATATACAATGCTTGTATTCTATGCAGCAATTCACTTTACTAGAAACCCCTGAAACAGTTAAAATTCTTGACTTTATACTAATACGCTCTAATATAACTTCTTTCCCATTGACTTCATTAAATATTTTCTTCCTACTGTGAAGCTGTGAGACAGCCAAGCACTTGACAACAGTTTTTGACTCGCAAATAGGGAGTGTCATAGCAAGGAGAGAAACATTCAGACAGCCTTAAGCTCCTGCCCATCAAGGAGCTTGCAAAAGGAAAGATTTATGGCATACATCCTTACTATCTAAAAAATTACTGCCTCTCTCCTGTGCACCCGCATCAGGCTTGGTCCAAAGCAGATCAAAGGGATCAATGATGTCAGGAGTAGTATGTATTATTTATGTGTCCATAACACCTAACGGTTATTGTCATGGAGCAGGATCGTACAGCTTTAGATGCCATGTAAACAGAAGGAAAAGGCAGTCCCTGTCCCAAATAGCCAACAGTCTAAGGATGACATGTAAGACTGCAGAAGGATAATGCAAATAATTCAGGAAAAAAGTAGAGAGTCAGTAAGACAGACAATAGTCTCACTAGTCTAACCATTACTTTCCTTTTCTCCTTTTTCGTTTCACTTAAAACGACAATGAAGACATTTACAGAAGTCATTGAGGATAAGTAGCTCAGCAGAGGTTTTCAAGGATTGCCCTGACAAAAGAAATGGCACAAAGTTAAGAAACAGCTACTGCTGGCATCAAAGGTCACAGGCAGAAGCTGGATCTTTTTGATAGCTTCTGGTCTTTAAATGTTTCCCCTGCACACAGACTGTTGCCAGTTTCTTTCTCTTCACCCATCACCAGAAATACCTAATGGAGATTTGCATTAGCTGGTGGTTTTCTTGAATAACTGATCCCTAACTTAGAAGTCTTAGTCTGAGCACCAAGTAAGAGGGGTTCCCTTGTAGGTAACCAACTCCTAGAGAATGCAAAGGACTGTTAAAAATCAGTCGCTGCTTCACATAGTTGCAAAAAATAATATTCCAAGTTGAAACTCGGCATAAATTCAAGGGGTTATTGCAAGTCTAGAAACAGTTTCTGTTTTCTTAAAGTCCCAGGTCCTTATAACTTAAGAATCTCAACTTTCACGTAAAACTAAATATGAAGGTTCTGTGCCTCATTATTTAGAAGCAAAGCCTGAAATGTGAATTGAGTGTAAATGTGAACTTAATCTTTAGGGTCTCAAATGCAGGAAGTAAATAGGAAAAAAAAAAAAAGTGATTACTGAATTTAAAGCTTTCATTTTGGGCCTCTCAGCAGAAGGACTAGTGCTCTCTCTTCCCGAGTCTGACTCATGAAAAGTCTTTACTGAGCACAAGCGATAATTTCAGAACACGGCAAGCAGCAAAGTGAAGTTGTTGTTCGTGAAAACTATATTCGGCAAGAAAAAAGCAATGCTCCATCTGCCCATCTGTTGATTATGAGAGAATCAAAAAAAACCCGAGCAGATCATAATCTTATATCCACAGCAAAGGGCGTGCTTGTGAAAGGACAGGGTAAGCACCAGTACTCATTGTAAGAGTCAGCATGTGCCCTGGAGAAAGAAAATTGACATGCTTTCTCTTCTCTTCCTAGAAATAAGGGAAAAATCAAGGTTTTCACATTCAGCATGACAAAAGCTTGCATAAAATAAATTCTGTGATCAAGGTCCAGAACTTTGGAGATTAGGTTAAATGGTGATTTTCCCTTGGGCACTCCTGCAGAGCTCTGCCACTAGTCACCGATACCTGATCAGCTTATGTTTTAAATGGGACTTGGGGACTTCACATACAGCTCTGCCAACACACAGAGCACAATGCAGGGAACAGGAGCTGTCCTGCCTCTGAAAAATGAAGTCATGTAACCACAGTACATCACCCAAGTTAAGCTAAAATACTGCATTCTCAGAATCAAAAGCTGCTTCACCCACTGCTGTCATTTGCTGCCCAGATGTAAGAACACAGCTGACTCTAGCTCAAGGAAACTATTCCTATCAATTGCATATATTTTATAAATCACCAAAGTGTCCAATTTTGCAGGTCACTAAAAACATGAATAGTTGAGTCAACTAAGAGGTTCTGCCACTTATCTAATGTTGGAAGGTGCATATTCCTTCAGCTGTAGCCATGTGATCTATATACTAGAAACAGCCTCATCCACCTGACGCACATGAAAGACCTAAATCCCGCTCCTACTTGGTGTCCAGAAAAAAACATCACAGAAACATGGTTTAGGAGACAGTAATGTAATCAGGAATTTGTTTCACAGCTTTCAGAGTGATTTATTTGAGCTGAAGCCTTCATTTATTACCAGCTCTACACTAGAAATACTTCTGTTCCATGCTCGGTTGAGCCCAGGCATCTACTTCTGCATTTCTCGAGGGGTTACCATTCTAAGTCCCCCTGGAATGGCTCACTGGGTCAACCCTAAATTCTGAACCTAGTAGATGTGCTGTTCTTGCAATTGTTCCTTAAACAGTGCAAGAGAAGCTGACAGATCAGTAGGTCAAATAAACAGTGACAAGCAGCTGGAGAAGGACAGTAGATAGTTTCCTTCTGCTCACAAACACATGGCCAGAAGAAGAGGTGTGAACACTGCTTAAGCTCAGATCAAATCCATAGAGTTGAGACAATTATACCACTAAAAGGCTTTTATATGCCCACCTAAGCAAGAATCAAAAGATCTGTTCTCGTAACACATGCACTGAGTGGGGGAGATTCTAGGGCTACTCACCCAAGATAGCAATTATGGGAAACTATAACCATAACAGAAAGTCTTTTTTTTAGTGTAGGTTTTTGGAGTAGTCAGGGTTTTTTTGTGAGGTACAAACTTATCACAATAGTGCTCTACTACAGCAGAAGCTTGCAGGCAAAGACGTATCAAGAACCTCCACAAGGTTTTACAGCTGTGTGCCCAGCAAAAGAAATCCCAAGTTTGTCTAAGGTCTAAGCTGAATATTGCACAGGTCTGCAATGGACATGAAAGCCCAGGGATGTTAAGAAATGGTGCTGGTAAGAAAGTCAACGATAGCTGGTTGAAAATGTGGGAACAGTATAAGGGACTGAGATAGGCAATAGATAAAGCTGGGGGGAGAGGTCAGCTGACTAGGCAAAGCTGTCAAGCTCTAGACAGCCTTCCTCAATCATGACGCTACAGCACAATTGCAAAATGCCTCTGAGGAAAGCAGTCCATCAGCCAGACACTACATGCACAGCTGGGTTTGCTTACCCTACACAAAAGGACAAGGTTTGCTGATAACAGCCACCGGCGAGGGGCTGCTGCAAACCACCATTCCCAGAAAGCTGCTGACGATGCTGCACTGCCCTGTGCAACCCATGACACCTTCACTGCAGCTTAGCAGCAGCTGCTGCACAGCACTCCAAGGGTTACCTGTCAGAGAGGCTAGTCAGAGCTACCAGGACCTATACAAAAAGCGTGGAAATTCAGTAAAGCTGGCCTGAATTTTCTTTGACAAGGGCTGCCTCCATGAAAAGCTCACATCAGTTCGATTTTTGGAACTGGGTGCCGAGATATGTGCAATAGGCAGGACAGAAGGGAGCAAAGGTGCCTTCATGGGAGTGGACAAGCTGACAGAGTGGGAGGGGAGGGAGGGATACTCTGCTGCTGCCGCTGCCCGGGTGTTCTCCCCGACCTCTGTACTCTTGCCTTGGAGCTTTAGGAGACAACACCGTCCCAACACAAATATTTGTTCTCAGTTCTCTTAAACAATCTTTTATTTTTTTATTTTACATAGAGTTTTTTATTTCCCTTTCTTTGACCAAGCTCGTAGCCCTCACCTTGAGGACACAGAGACCTGACTTTCTCCTTGCTTTAAGAACCCCAGCAGCCAAACCCCGCGCCGCGGTTCT